CCTCTGTTTGATTCCTAATCTTCAACTCCTAGATATAAAGTCTCTAGGGTTCTAGAGTTAAGTTAAACTAAAGTGAATATACCCTTTTCCACAATTTCGAACACATACGGAAATTTCCTCAACAAAGCAATAAATCTCCTCTTTTTGAGCGGGCAAAACGATTCTCTTGGTGGCAATTGCAGTGGTGGGATGGGATGGGGATTTGGGGAAGAAGATGAATAGTTTTTGCAATTAATTTATGGAAAATGTTGAAGTAACGATTTTACACTTCTTTTAATTTGTAAAAATAAGTCAAACTTTTAATTTTTGGATTGATTAACGGATTAATGGACGGATTCTGTCCATTGTCCTCCGAATGCAGTCAAAGTGAAATGTTTAGGATTGTGGGTGCAAAAATAAAAGGTTCTGGTGTAGTCTACAACAAATTGAAAGTTTTAGGACTCCTGCTGCAATTTTCCATAATATTAATAGTCATGATTGTATAAAATCCCCTGTTGTCACGTGCAGATGCACTACGAAAAAACTGACACACGTGCTGTAGTCAAACCTCTGACTGTATTAGTACAAATAAGGCCCGCATAGGACGATAGTAAAATGTCCAAAATATACAAAATGTGTCACAGAATTCCAAAAATAGGGATTCTTCCCCATTATTTTCATTTGACCGTCCTGGTTTTAATGCTCGACAATTCGACATCATTTTCGATGGATTCACATAAATGCCACTCACTAGCTGACAAGTAACACACATCATGTATTTTGGCATTATTGATCCTCGTACCTATCCCCTCAAACCAACGGTGGCATTCTTGAAATTTCGATTATAACATTGTTTACACTTCAAACATGGCACGTGAATTTGCAAGCTCCATTTTGATTTTTTTCTATAATTTGAAGATTTGAATAATTGGCTAGCTAAATTAATCCGGTTAAATAAAAAATAATTGATGAACTTTATACTATCATTACTATGCCCTTATTTGAGCCCCATTTTGGAGGGAAAAAAAAAATATTTTTTTGAATAGTGATTTTTGGAGAATGCGTGGTTAAAAAATAAGAAAAAGTTTTAGATTTACGTGTACAGTTATTTCATTGAAAAATATGTGGTTGAAAATAATTTTTTGAAAAAATGGGGTTCAAACAAGGGTTATGTTTCGAATTTACTCTCGAAGTTATAATTATTTCAAAGTGAAACAAGGGATAAAGTTCATAAACTAATATTTAGACTAATATTTTTCAATTTGTTATAATTCGACATTTGTTAGTTGGAACTACGGAATTGTCCATAAAGCAAATGACATCGATGTGAAATATGGGATAAAGTTCATAAACTTAATATTTAATCAAATTGTACTACTTTAAAAATACTTTCCTCATATTGACGTTTGCCACTACCTCTTTTATTGCAATTTCAGTGAATCAAGAGGATTGTTGCTATGAAGGGTGGATGTGAAAACTTGTATGAAGGCATAGGCCATATTTCACCGACGACTCACGAGCCTATACAATTTTCTCACAATTAGTTTTTTCTTTTCTTTTCTTTTCTTGAAAAATATGAGTTCGAGTTGGCCGATCATCCTTGATTGTGCAGACCACCCCAATTACACAACTCAGTTCTATCCCCATCGGAGCAAATCAACCTAAAATATGGGTTACGTCAAGCCATTTGAACTTGAACAATTCATCGAATTTTGACATTCCTATAAAGAGGTACGAGAGCCTATGAAAAATCGATATCATGAAAGTGGGGGAAGATTGTGGGAAGGATTGGGGAGGAGGTGTAGTTTGTGTTCTACTCATGTATATATTCACTATTAAATTAAAGAATGTTGATGTTATCATTAAAATTTCTTGAATCCATGTTGATTGAATGAATTTTATGTAGTTGGACTGACAGGGTAGAATGAGAATTCACATTTACTTCCAACTAAGAGTAAGCCTAAATGCTTTAAAAACAAAAAATTAAAAGAATTCACATTTTAGTAGAACTTCAATTTGAAATTTCATAATCATATTATTTCAAAAAAAAAATTCAAAGTAATTATCATGACCACTGCATCCAAAACGAGTAGTGGTATTTTGAACAAGTGGTATTTAACCTAAAGATTAAAATTCTAATTTTAATTTTAATCTAAATCAATTATTAATTTAACCATATATTTTATAGGATCCATAACTTTTTAATCACACATTTTATTAATTTTTATTAAAATTTATTAAAAATCTGATTTTATTCACCACTAAACATGAACTTAATATATGTCTATGTGTTAGTGTAATTTACTATCTACATTCGAGTAAAATATAAATATACAATTTTATTACAAATTTTAGATAGTGTATTCTACTACTAAGCACCACTAATACTAGATTGGGATTGCAAAAAAAAAAAATTGTGGAACTGCAAACCAAATCGAACTTGATGGTTTGAAATTGATGGTTCGAGTCCACGTGCACCCGTGGTTTTTTCCCTCAAATTGAACTAAATTGTTTCAAAATTACTGGGTTTAGATTTCAATTTTCAAAAATCGCACAAAATCGAACTAAACCATTTTTTTATTTTTTAATTATAATTATAATTTTATTAAATTATAAATTTTGCAGTTTTCCCTTTTCAGAAAAATACTAATTTGGCAATACAAATTACAACTAACCAATTGAAATAATCATATAAAGTAAATTATGTTCATAATTACCAGTGTTCTAAAAAACGTAAAGCGTGACAAAGCACAGAGGTCAAACTTCGGCCTAGGCATTAAAAAGCGTGAAAAATATTTTTTATTTTAATATTTTTTTAATTTTTAAATCAATCTAAAAATTATTTAATAATTAAAGGAAACAAAGCGTAAAAATCCGTTGAAAGGTGTAAAAAACGTTAAAAAGACGTAAAAGCGTAAAAAAAAAGGTGTGCACTAATCACGTCTAGGCATTAAAAAAATAAAATAAAAATTAAAAAGCATAAAAAAGGGCGAAGCTAGACATTTTGCTCCGGCTTTGTGCTTAGGCGATGCCTTTTTAGAATACTAATCATTATTGACCTATGATTTTACAAGTCCACTGCACATGTCCCCAATCAATAACTAAACTAAAATTACCCCCAAATCATATGAAATGAACCAAAAAAGCATATATTTTCGACAATTCAAATCATAATTTAACAAAACTATAACAGCAAATCACACTCAAAGTTTCAGAAACCCTAACTTAAACTCTCATTTCTAAAACATTTGACGCTAGTTCGCTACTACTAAACGAAATACAATTCTTAATCATCGACGCCAATCGCTAATTGTCATTAGCCTTTTTCCTACTAGTTTGTTCATTTTTGTCTGAGTAGTCTCTTTCTCTCTTCTCTCTCGATGAGTCTCATATTCATTTTCTCCATTGTTCTTTATTTCTTCTTCATTAAGTGTTCATTAATTTATTTCTTCATTTAAGTATTCATTATTTTCTTTGCTGTCGGTCAGATTCATTATTTTTTGTCTCCATTGGTTAAAATATTTGTTATTTTTGAACTTATTATGTCGTATTGAGTTGTGATTCGGATAGAAAAATGACTATGTGCCTAGATAACTAATTAACTTGTTTGTGATTTGAAAAGAACAAAAGACGGAATGTATTGATTGCGTAGAAATGTTAAAGTTCCCTAACTAGTACTATTTCTACTTTCTTAAAATAGTTAGAGAATGAATTCGTCAATCCCATTAAGTTGAACTCTATCAATCTTTGTATATCTAAACATATCTTGTTCGGTCCCTATTTTCCATCTCACCAATAAGACGAAAGGAATTTTAATCAAACTATAGCAGTAGAATGTCAAGCTTGAAGGAGTGCTTCTGCTTCTATATTGTTGCTTGTAAAAGTTTGAGTGAAGGAAGCTATTAGACTGTTACTAGATGCTAATTCACTAATACTTTTTCACCTTTTTGTTTATATTTCGAATTTCAGACAAATATAAATGTAATTTGACATTTAACATTATTAGTTCTCATTTAAACTTATATATTAATTTGTTTTAAATATATTACTAATATATTGATAAGTAAAATCGTAGATTAAAATCGAACCAAATTGCAAATAATAGTCTGATTTGATTTAGTTTGAAAAATAAAATGATTTGGTTTAATTTGAAAAAATTTCAAATCATATAAAATGGTTTGAATTGAAAATATGGCACAAATCATTCCAATCGAATTATGTTCAGCCATATGCTAGACAGCATTATTCATCCGAAAATGTGACAAGGGTATAAATGTCTTTGTAAAGAAATTTTATTTTTACAAAAATTTGAAGGTTCAATATTAATTATTATTATTAAGGGGTTAGTAAAAGAAAAAGCAATGCAACACGTAGTACACAGCTTCCCCGACAAGTGTCTCTGGTAACAAGATGATGCCACGTGGACGGTCGGATATCACCTATATAATGCCACGCCATTTTCCGACCGAGGGAGAAGCTGAAACTGAAATACTCGTGTTTAATCATGGTTAAAAATTAAACCATGATTAAATGCCGCCGCTCATTCTAGTGTTAAACAACAAGCTTATAATACTATTATACTCACTTCAAATCTCTCTTTTTGTTTCTCTCTCATGATTCATAATACAGTACAGAATTGATAAGAGGAAAACATGGTCGAAAAATTGTAAGTGCCGTCGGGTATAAACATATATGGTGTAGTTTTTGTAGTGGGCTACTGAGTTGAACCGGCGTTCTTATTTTGTTTAATTCAAGAACATCTTTCTGTTTTGGGATTTCAAGGGATTTTTCGTACTCTCTTTCTGCAAAATTATTGTTTTCCGTGAAAAACAAAGAGAGACAACTTTCAAGATTTTTCAAGCTTGTAGAATAAATTTTCTTGGTTTTTGCTGAATTCTTTTTTGTGGTCTGTTGCTAGAATTTTTCTTGAATTCTGAAAATTGCAGTTACGAGGAGCTGAATTGAGAGAGAGAGAGAGAGAGAGAGAGAGAGCGAGCGAGCGAGCTTAAAGCAAGGCGGAAATGGAGATTTCATCAATTTCAAATGCTGAGAATCAACCAGCTGATCAACCAGCAGCCAAGAAAAGGCGGAATCAGCCCGGAATGCCCGGTAAAACATTTTCTCAATCAGTTCTGGTTGGTGAGCACCGGTCAATCCAGTTTGAGATTGATGCGAAAGAACCCAATACCAATGCGTTCGGGTTCTATTTCCTTTCGAGTATTTCCGGATAAAAATGCTCGCTCTTTTATTGAATTGTCATTAAACAAATTGAGTGAGACGTGGATTTATATTATTTGTTTTCGTTGCAGATCCAGATGCAGAAGTGATAGCTTTATCCCCAAAAACACTGCTAGCAACCAACAGATTTTTGTGTGAAATCTGTAACAAAGGGTTTCAAAGAGAACAGAATCTGCAACTCCATAGACGAGGCCACAATTTACCATGGAAACTCCGGCAAAGAACCGGCAATGAAGTGAAAAAACGAGTATACGTATGCCCAGAAATCTCTTGCATTCACCATGATCCGTCAAGAGCCCTCGGCGACCTCACCGGCATCAAGAAACATTTCTGCCGGAAACACGGCGAGAAGAAGTACAAATGCGAAAAATGTACAAAGATTTACGCCGTTCATTCTGATTGGAAAGCACACATGAAAGTTTGTGGCTCCCGTGAGTATCGGTGTGATTGCGGAACCTTGTTTGCAAGGTAATGATATGATCAATTGTGTTGTTATGATTTTTGAATGCCAGGGACACACCGTAATGCGTTATTCTTGTTTGGTGGATTATTAGGAAGGATAGTTTTATTACACACAGAGCGTTTTGCGATGCATTGGCTCAAGAGAGTACGAGGTCTCAAAGCTTGAAAGTTCAGGTTGTTAACGGAGTCTCTTCCAGTCCACATCTACCGCCTCTTACTCCGTCGTCTACCGGAGTACTATCTCCGGTGCTATCCATTCAAAGCTCAGGTAATTCAACCATGTTCTGAATAGGATTTTAACTTTTTCTTCTCTCTCCCCTTTTTTTACTGTCTTTTGTGCTAATAAATTCTGCCTACCAAACATGACGTTATCATCTTAGGACGAGAGTTTAAGAATGTGATCTATAATTTGTCTGCATTATATATATGCCAAAACGAGGATGTCAAGAACTGAAACAGCTGTTTATGGGATTAAATGAAGTTTCATTTGCTTTTGTTTATTCTTTATTTTTTAATTAAAAATGGGCTTCTTGAAACGTTACTATATTTTGTCTATTAGCATTCTTGTTTTCATGTGGATGAATAATGTGACTAGCTTGCTAGCTTATCCCACTCTGTATGTGAGAGAGAGGTGTGCCAATGTATGAAAATGGATGCCAAAGCGTTTCTTGTGCAGTATTGGAAAAGATTGGACAATAAGGCGCACACGAGATCTTTCTTCTTTGATACTGTCATGTCCCCCCACTTGAATGTTAAAAATTAGCTCAAAACAGGAGAAAAAGGAGCCCATGATAACACTACTTTTACTTGAAAGGTCTATATATAAGTTAAAGTTATGGCGTATTGAGATTCAAGATCCAAAAAGGCGTTTTCTTTTTAAAAGTTTATTCCCTCCTTTTTCTGGGTGTGTAATCTCCTCTCTCTTGGGTTTGTTCTTTTCTTGGTAGCAGCAGAATTGCCTGAAAATCCAACTGTTCATTTTCAACCGCAACCCGGAACAGCCACATTGTCTACTTCAATCACCACCGCGACCACCACAACTGCCATTGCCGCTACTGCCAATGGTGGCTCCTCCACCTATAACAGAAATATTAATGGCAGCAGTGGAGTATTTGCTAGTATATTTGCTTCATCTACCTTGGGCGAACTGGCACAACCATCCCATCCTCCCTCATCGTATTCTGACTTACTGTGTGCAATGGCTGGATCGGAGTGCTCGACCATTGATCCCATATCGCTCTCACTGTCATCTTCTTTGTATCTCTCTACTAGTGCAGCATCTTTGTTCCCGACTACGTCCCAGGATCCGTATAGGCATTATGCATCAAGTCCACAACCAGCACTGTCTGCAACTGCATTGCTTCAGAAAGCAGCCCAAATTGGTGCAACATCAGCCAACTCCTCACTTCTTCGTGGCCTCGGGCTTGCAATGTCATCTTCATCCGATCCTCAGGATAACGTCTCGATGCCAGCTTCTGCTACTATTACTGCCCCTTCCCCATCACATTGGAACATTCACATGCAGCTTGAAAACAGTTCATTTGATCCTGGTCTTGGGTTGGGTATTCCTTCCAATTGTTCTTCGGGTTTGAATGACTTGATGGTCGGCCCATCAACGTCACTCTTAAGTAACAAGCCGACGACTCTAGATTTTCTTGGCCTGGGAATGGGTGTTAGTGAAGGCTCTTCTGGTGAGTTTTCGGCCTTCTTGACCTCGATAGGAGGTGGACTTAACGCGGCTGCTGCTTCCGTTGGTGGTGGTGGTGCAAGCTCTGCTGGAGATGCTTGGGATGATCCTTCTGATAGGAAGACTCCTTTGCTAAAGTAGAAGCTCCCTTTTGTTTTTCTCAAAGCTCTATACATCTCTTAGTTTTGATATATATATATATATATTTTTTTTTTGTTTCCTAGACATATCTTAAGGTTGCTTTCTTGTTCTTTGTCTTGTTAGTTGGGACTTGCATTGGCAAGTTGTGAATATGAACTCTCAGATCGTCTTGGTACCAAGAACTTGACAGTCTTAGTGAAAAAAAGAAAAAAAGAAAAAGTTGAACTTTTGTCTATTATATATTGTTGAACTTATTTTAAAGCACATTTACGCTAGTTGGTAGGGAGCATTAAAGGATTAGTCAGTTTAACGAGAGTATCTGAATTGATTAGAGTCCTAAATTTCAGTCTGGTGATTATCAGAATCCTATTTGTAATTAAAACATAAATAAATAAATGAAGTTGGTTTAACAAATATTATATATTTTTTGATATTATATTATAAACGAAATTTTTTTTTTGAAATAAATAAAGACGAGCTTCTGCATGTATGTATATGTTTGTATGCGTATATGTGGATGTCCACGCCTCCCTGTGTGTATGTATTGAGTATTTGACGTAGACTAGCAAGGCTTGAAAGGTCATTGAAAAAGAGAGGAAGACTTGACAAAAAGAGGGAGTGAATTGGAGGATGAGAAAGTCCTAAAAGACGTAAACAATTCCACTGCGTCAAGAAAATGTAAGTGGTTGGAAATGCTCTATGCCTTGACAAAATTTGCAAAAATAGTAGGAACATAAGCACTTTTATTTGAGTAGCGTGAGGAATGTGGACAAGACTATAGAGAGTGAGAGGGACGTCTCAAGAGTGGGGATTCTTTAGGACTCTATACGAATAGATAGAGTTGATATTATTGTGTATCGTATTTAATATCGTTTAATATTGTGTATCAAATTTGTCATACAATAATGTAAATGTATGTTTGAAATGTTATATTGTGTTTCGAACATATATGTTATACAATAATGTAAGTGTATATTTGACACAATATATTGCATGAATATGGGCATAATTACAAAAAAATAGTTGTGACATAATTTATGATTTATTTTATGTAACGTTGTTCAATTTAATATATCAAATATGTCAGAAGAGTACTCGAAAAAACAATAATGCTTGTTAGTAGTGTCCTATCAATCATAGGAGACAACAAATATTTTGCATATTTTAGTGTTTCTTCTAAGTATGTATATTTAGATAAGTCGTACCTATAAATTATACTATAAGTAGTTATAAATTTTTGCCATTCTCATGTTATGAACTAAAACGAATATGCTTTTCCGGGATCTATTTTTTTTTTTTTGATGATTTTTGGTTCTAAAATGTTATTTTGTTAAAAAACTAGATTTAAATATTTATCATGTCTCTCACTTAATTACATAGGTGACAATTTTTAAACATAATAACAAACAAAATAAATCTAATTTCAATTAATTTGTAGTATATGATAAATCTTTTTCACCGCTTCTTTTAGTTACAAGGGTGAATTATGCCAAAGGTCTCAAACATTTGAGCTCATTTGCACTTTCACTCTCAACTTTTTTTTTTTTGGATGATGATTTTGTTACGTTGTGTGGCCATACATTATATTTTGTTGTGATAAACTTATATTTGTAATAAATATACGATGATTTTATTTATGTATTGCATATATTTAATATTGAGGATGCGAAAGAGAGTGCATATGTTCACGTGTAATAATATAAGTTGTGTGCTTGCAATAAGAATCACAATGTGTTATGAGAGTTGATACCTTGTACTAAAAGTTTTAGTGTTGATTGATTTATTATTCAGGTTTGCAATTTATTCTTATCGCAAAAATGGTTAAAGGTGACATTAGTAAATTTGAAGGTATTGAACGGACCATATATCGAGTTTAATTCTATAGCATATGACCGTGCAGAGAATTAAATTCCACTTGAACATTGGGTATTTCAACTAGATGAATTATAGGGTTGGGTATATTTTATTGTGACTTTGATGGTTCTTTAATTCACCAATGATTCATTATGATTGAGACAAATTTCATTGGTTAAATATCAAGGTGAGTTGGGAGTCTCAGAATAAGTGAGTGCAGAACATGAATTCGTGTGGGAATTGTCATCCTCAAAAAGGGTAGAGTGGCTACTAAGTGTTTTCTATTCAATAATTAAAGTCCGTGTTTAGTGTTTAATGATGATTAAATTTCGACATCTATGGTTGATTCACAAAATCGTTGAATAAAATGGTACTTAAGTTAGTGAGAATAACAATAAAAGAAAAATGGTCATTCGCGTCAGTACCTAATTATCGGGCTCGGATGGGAATAAAATACGCATATGATTGGTCAAAGGAAACTATTACAAGTATATATTAGCTTATGCGAACTTATACATTTCAAAAGTGTAGTTTGTTGCCTTTAATGGAAAATATAAATACTAATAATTAGATTTGATGATCTAGGGTTGACTAGACATCATCTAATTATTGAAACTTATATAATATTTGTTCGATCAAGTCCAAGTGGTAGCTTTATAAAGTATTGAGACTTAATCGTAATTATTTTGAAAGTTATAAACTTAATGGTATACATAATTGAAGTTTTAGGATTACACTTTTGAAGTGATGGTTGGAACGCCGATTTGAATTTCAATTAAGACTCCTATTTGCACTTTATTTGGAATTCTTATTCTACATAGATGGGAATACTTTTATTTATGTAAATAGATAATAGATGGAACCAAAATTTATAACACAATAAAATGATAACTCTTCCACAGTGTTCGAATTTAGAGAGATAAAATTATTTTCTTCATTTTTTATCTGTCAAATTCGAAATTAGTTTTTGATTTAATTAAAAGAAAGTGTTTATCTATTGGTGTAGTCTTCATTTTGAAGAATACCATATATGACTTGGAGGTTGAAAGCATCAAGTTCTTGAATTTAAAAGCTGAAAATTCGTGATTCACATCTGAACGAAAATTTGTATAATGAGTTTTGATAAATTCTAAATCTTTATTTGTTGATTATAATATTTACTTGAACATTTCATAACGATATTAAATTCTTAAACTAAAATCAAATTAATTTTTTAGGTACTTCTTATTCCGCTTTTCAACAACTGGTATCATAGCAAATGTTTACTTGTTATTTTAGAATCGTGATTGTATGTTCTAGTTGGCGATGTGTAAGAATAATTGATTATATGATAATTAAATGATTGGAATTATTGTAAAATGTGATATGATTATTTTGTAGCCAACTCTTGATTGTAATTTATTATTTCGAGTCTATTAACAAGATAGATGAATTACGACTCCATCATTTTGATTTAATTTTTTTTCAAGCTCAAGATTGTAACAAGAAGATCGAGTTGTAATTTTCTAATTTTCAATTCCGGTTATTTTTGGAATTCTTATAAATTAATTAAAGATTCGAAGACGATGAGAGGAAGATCAAGAGTTGCAATAATAATAATAATAATAATAATAATAAATCTCACCCATGGGTAGACTGTGTTTACGCTGGCATAAACAAGGTCTGCATGTTAAGATATGAATTCACACAATTTGTTGTACAGATTTGAATCGATGTTGAGTGGGTTCAGGTCAACGTCTGTGTGGATCAAATCAAATTTATTTTACATGTACTATAGAACCTATCATTAAAATCCCCCTAGAGGGGATAAGACTAAGCAGAGCGAAAAAGATTTTCCATGAGATGGAAAATGAAAAGTATTAGTGTGGAGGAGTTAGATTGCTATTTGAATTGTTAGTGTTGGATCCTTGGAGAATTGTCGGCATTAAAATTCATATTAAATATTGAGTTTGGACCCCTAATACTGTACTGTGATAACAGTAGGGTAGTGATATATGTTAAAGAACCAAGGAGTAATCAAAAGAGTAAACATATTGAATGGGTATGTAATCTCTTGAGAGAGATTGTTCGTAGATGAGATATGATTGTTAGTTCGATTGCCACGGGATAACCTCACAGCCTCCTTTACTAAAAGCATGTAAGCTAAAGTTTTCGTGGGGCATTTGCAAGGCATGATGTATATATATTTTAGGACAAGTAGGAGATTTGCTGGATCTTGTGCTCATATAATATATTTTGATATAATATAATAACATTTTACAATCAATAAATTGTGATTTTATTTATTGTATTTATAAAATATTGAGCAAATGAATTAACGTCACTATGATCACTTGATATTATAAATTGGATGCTTGTATGGAGAAATATAGTGTGATACAACTTATATATCGATCGTAAATAATTTGTTCATAATCAATATATGAGGATTGAAATCTTGTATTGTAAGGTTGTAGAGTAGACTGATTCATTGTTTGGGTTTTCTTTTGTTCTTATCACAAAAAATGCTAAAGAGTGACACTAGTACACTTAGAGTGTATTAAACGGACCATGTATTCTTATATCTCCAAGTATCGACACCAATAACTCGAGTGTCCACACCCACAAATAAAATCAAACTAGGATAGGGACATTTAATATCCAAGTGTTGACACTTGGCTAGAATTGTACTAAACTCGTAATTCCGATGTTTTGGTGTCGACGCCTATAGTACAGACGTCGACACCTACATGAAATTTTTTAGTTAATCACATTTTTATTGAAGTTCCTTATCTATCCTTATTAAGTATCGGGTTAATAAAGTAAGAATTAATGACAACATAAATCATGTTGAGTTCGAGCGTGCACGGTGCTGTAGAAATAATCAAATAATAAGCAATTCGTAGAAATACAAATAACTTTCTAATTTGTGATTATTCGTCTAAATTTCAAGAAGTGTAGACAATACTGGTCATTGATCACACTTAAAAATGGATAGAAAATTGAGAAGAATCGAAGTTTTATAAAATAACTTGTGATTTGTCTGGTCTTGGTGGACATATATTTAAAATCTAAATGAGCTAATTTTGGTAGAAGAATCTAAGGATAGTGGAAATTAACTAAGTAATCTCCTTATTCAATAATATCGAAAATTATCACTTTTATAAAGGGCTTTACACAAACATGTGTAAAATATGGGAGTAAGTTGAAAAATATTCATGGGTACGTTCTCTTTATCATTTTCAAGCCGTTTTCTGTTTTCGATTTTCCAAAACAGTGAAAATTCGTTCTCTTTCTTATTTTCGAAAATGCGTTTTTGAAAACAAATTAAAAATTTACAAAGAAAATCCAAAACGGCAAATTTATCATTTTGGGCGTTTTCAGTTATAATCAAGCTAAAATTTTCAAAATGCGTTTTGGGTATTTTCAAAACAATTCTTCAAAATGTCAAAAAGAACACATTTTCAACAATCTTAAAATGAACACTCAAAACACAAAATCCAAAATGAATTCAAAACTCAAAACATAACTAAAATACAAAGAGAACAGTCCATAGTTTTTGTTAAATTTCACAAAATTAAAACCTTACATGCGCTTAAAGAAAAAACTGATAATCACCGTTTATGTAATTTTGTGACGAATTACGGTGTGTATTTTTTGAAAAACTATATTTTTTACACTGTCAAATCCTGTGTGTACGAAATGCAACAGAACACACATACACAAGTGGGGGCTTTTTTTTTTTTTTTTTTTGCGCAATATTTTACTCACATGGGGACCATCCCCATGTGAGTGTTCTGACAATTTTTTAGTAATTCCATTTCTGTACAAAGGGAAAATTCATTTTCCAAACTAAATTAATTTTTTTATTACTCCTCCACCCCCTTCCAACAATTTGAAGGCATCTAAATAAATAATAATAATAATAATGATAATAATAATAATAATATCAAATTCGACAACTCGAAGCCTCAAACCTAAAATAATATCAAGAAATTAATTTTGAGGATCCTAGCTAATGAATATATACATATCAAAATTGAACTTAGGTCAGGGCCTATAGGAACAATAGCACAAGCCTCTTGATTAGTGCATCCTTTGCCGGCATCAAATTTTCCAGTTGACTCCGACTAAGTCAATCTCAAACTCCGCGTTATCTTTGACCAACACAAACATTTCGTTTACAAAAGGCAACGACACGACAGTAGAAAAAACATTTTGAGGACTCAAGAGTACCACAAATTGTTCAATTCAAAGAACATAGAGTCAACTCCAACTCTGCACCAAACTTTAAGGTAAGTTTCGTATCATTTTACACCAAATCTTATGCTATAAACTGAAAATCATTTCCACCCCATTACACTAAAAGTTGTACCAAATGAATAGTGTTTAATTACTTTCTTTATTTATTTTTCATTTTTAAACATTTAATTATTTATTTTACAACTAAATAAATTACTAAATAAATAATTGTGTTAAATTAACGAAAATATTGAATTTATTAATAAATTTAAAAAATGCAGTACAATTACTAGAAATACCACAACTAAAAAAATAATAAATCATGTCATTAAAAAATAATGCAATACGTCTTGAATCCTGATATTATGAATTCAAACTAGAGTTGTAATTTAATTCTCGAAATTAATATATTCATCCCACATGAAATTTCGAAGTGCAATGTGAACACCTTTATCTTTGATTTATCTATGACGAGTAAAGAGATCCTGGAAGCGATAATTTATTACAAATGCACATAATAATAATAATAATAATAATAATAATAATAATAATAATTTATTGTATAAAAAAATGTATTGCAATAATAATAATAATAATTTATTGTATAAAAAAATGTATTGCATAAATGGACACAAATACCCTTAACATAATTTTGTGCAAAGTGAAAAAGAAGGGCACAAAAGTTATATAACCATTTTGCACCAAACTGGTGCAATGGGTTGGAGTAGATTTGCACAAAAAATTTGTTGTAATTTGGCGAATTTTGGTTCAATGAGATAGGGTTATAGATGCCCTAAGTAGTAGGAGATGACCTAGTTTAAGACAGTTGGGCTTTGGGAGGAAAGCCCAGACATTGTGCAATGTTTGGAGAGAAGCTTGCCGTATAATAACTGAAAAAAGTTTTGAAAAAGCGTGGTTTTCCTTAAGATGGGCCTAACTATAGGCCCATTTTTAATGGGAGAAATGGTTCGGTAGCCCAAACATGAGTCACTTGACCAGACATTGACTTCGTAGATCAAATTCAAGATGGAATTTGTTTTGTTTGTTGGGAAAATTACATAAAACCAGGAATTTAGTTTGACGTTTTTAAAAATCAGGTATACCTTTTTAAAAAGCAGGTTTACCATTTTAAAAATCAGGTTTTTAATTTATTTTTGCAAAAATCAGGTAGTATAAAACCCTAATTCTTAACCTATTCAATTTTCTCCCAACTCTCTCTCTCTCTCTCTCTCTCTCT